CTTCACCTGACTGTTACTACATGAGACAGTATATTTGCTAATCTTCATCGTAAGATGTGATTGTTTAGAGGCTAAGAAAATCCTTTTACCATCTGCCTGTCCTCATGATGACACATAACTAAGATATTTTGCTAATCTTTCATCATAAGGTGTGATTTGTTTTAGAGGCTGAGAAAATCCTTTTTCCATCTGCCTGTCCTCATGACACATAACTAAGATATTTTGCTAATCTTTCATCATAAGGTGTGACTTGTTTTAGAAGCTGAAAAAATCCTTTTTTCACCTGCCTGTCCTCATGACACATAACTAAGATATTTTGTTAATCTTTCATCATAAGGTGTGATTTGTTTTAGAAGCTGAGAAAATCCTTTTTCCACCTGCTTGTCCTCATGACACATAACTAAGATATTTTGCTAATCTTTCATCATAAGGTGTGATTTGTTTTAGAGGCTGAGAAAATCCTTTTTCCACCTGCCTGTCCTCATGACACATAACTAAGATATTTTGCTAATCTTTCATCATAAAGTGTGATTTGTTTTAGAGGCTGAGAAAAAGTATCAGCCAATAAAACTAATTTATAGTATATTATTAATTACAGTGCTGTTTGAATCAAGTAACTTATTGTTTCACTTGTTCTGCATTTTTTTTCTTTGCCATGTTAGATTGTTTATATTACCTACAAGATGACCAACTTAGGAAAAGTCAATTGTACGATAAGTAGAAACATTGAACATCCAATAAACAAAAGTCCTGTGTTGGAGCTTCACAGTTTATTGGTCAGACATGTTAGTCAAAAATTCTCTTTACAGCTTTTTCTTCAAAGACTTTAACTGTTGAAATAGGAAAATAAAATAAGACTTTGGTAAATTAAAAATAAAAACAAATAATTAAATAATTGTGAAATACCAAAATAACGTTTGTAATTGAAATTTAATCACAGCATTAAAAGTTCAATATAAAAAGGATACTTAGATTATTGGAAAACCCTTGTAAATTATTGGTAATTCTGAGGATTTATGTGCTAAAATTTTGGTTTCGATACCCAAGATGAGCAGAGCACAGATAACGTATTGTGTAACAAGATCATCAAAAACAGTTTGTTTTTTTACTTCATTTTACTCTTATGTTAGCAGCACATAACTTACTTAAATAATTGGATAGTAGTTAATTACATACATTGTATTTGTAGGACTTGCACCTTAAACCTGTGTTTAGACAGCCACTTCGTCCGGGCATCTGGACTCTCCTGTTAATGTACAACTGGGTTCTGGTAGCTGAAACACATTTTCTGGTGGTCCCATTATCAGTATATAACACGCAACCAGTTGATGAGCAGAAGACCCCGATGATTCACAGCGGTCCTGGAAAACAACCATATGTTGACCACGATTTCAGTAATGTAGAAACACTTCTTAAGTACACCAACAAAACTTTAATGTTACAACAGGCAGTGCTTAATTCTCAGAAGGCTGGTAAGGACTTGGAGAATTGGATTGATGGTCTCACCACCCAGTTCTGGACCGTTCAAGATTTATGTTTTGTCTCAGTGCCTCAGCATCCAACAGGGGGCGCCTTGTGCTTGGCACTGGACATGGATCCTTGTCAGCTAACCTTATGGAGTTCTAAGTCACCAGACCCAAAGTCTGAGGTAAACAGTGATAGAGAAGCTCAAGTACAATGATAACAACAACCAGTTCTTATTTTATAAGAACAGAATATTGCATGATGTAACTTTTTTAACTAATTGAGAAAAACAATAGTGATCCCAGTCTATTTTAAAGAAAAAAAAAAACTGTATGAACAACAGGTCACTTGTAATAAATAATGGACAATTTTCAGTTCCTATAAAGATATAAGTTAATTTAAAACTACCATACCATACTTTGTATCATGAATTAATTTTGCACATTTTAAAGTCAGGACAGGTATTGAACTTTATAATTTATATTTTTTGTGTATATTTTTTTTTCATTTCTTGGTCTTATGTTTAAAATTTTTCCTATAATTTTTTTTACTGTTTGACTTTAGGTTCATATAATGTTATCTGTGGTAACTAAGTAACAATGATTAGGATTAATATTTTTAGAAATTTAGTGAAAATACAAATAGAGCAACAGTTTTTATTGTTAGATAATACTTATAAATTATTTTATTGAAAAACAACAACTTTGATTCAACCATGAGAAATGAAACAAATGTCCTTGTTGAGAAATTTAAAAAGTATCATGTAATCTAAATTCCATTTCTGACATTTGTGTAATTTCCAAATGCAATTGAGATAATGTATATGTTACATTTTTACATGTTACGTATAGATAATCAACTCTTACCATGTTAGTAAAGAGAATTTGTGCCAATCATAAACAAACGTCACCTAGTGGTGGAAATGTACAAATGATTTGTTTCTTTTTTTTTGTTTATCTAGCATTATATAAGTTAAAGCTTAAGCTTGTTGTACTACTGGTGTTTGTTACCTTTATGAAAGTTAAGATAATTTCAGTAATATTTTGGTGCTTTAGGGTTAGTACTAGTAACATATGCATTACGTAAGCATGATGAATGTATGAGTATAGGTTTTGTTGTTCCTTTAGATTAATTATAACAATGGCCTCCGTATGAAGTTGTACTACATTTTGTGTCAAATTTGACTAAGTTCAGTTATAGTTCATGTATTATGAGGGAAACTTAGCTGAAAGCTCATTTTTATTTTCTTCACTACATAATTTAGCAAAATCGTTTTCTAAACACTTTAGATTTTTCTTTTTTTTATTACATATATGTCAACTTTTTTCACAAAAGTTCATACGGAAATTTTAAAAATGGGAAAAGAAAATGCTTAGAAGTATCTAAGAAGAACATTTATTTTATCAGAATACATGTAAACACGAAATATCTGTCAGTACGATTATTAATACTAGTTGTAAAATTAATTCAAAATGGACGTGTTTCATAAATGTTACAATAGACTTAAGAAAATAGCTTTTGGACCTCTTCAACTCTTCGGAGTACCACCGAAATGCACTGAAAGTGAAAGAAGAGATGCTTTTTGGGGATGTTAGATCTGGTCTTTGAATTTAAAACCAGGCCTTTTCAGTATGGCCTTACAATCAACTGTGTTATTCACTTTTTTATATTGTGATGTTGCTGAAGTACGTTGAGATTTTTTCTGTCTACTATAGTGCTTATTTGATTTACTTTTCAATTAATATTATGTTTTTTGCTTTATTGTTTATTCAGGATTTTATTTTGGATAGTATACAACTTGATAAAAGTTTGTTATAGAATAGTGATATGTTTAGTCATTTGTGAATATATTTTTTTGGGAAAATGCACAGTGAAAAGTTTTCCTATTATTATTTTTTCTGTATTTTCTTTGGCTTTCAACTTTAAGGATTTTATTTTATTATTTTAAAATATAACCACGTACCGAAACATCAAAGTCATCTTTATGGTAGGAAATGTGCGATTCATGGAGTGAAACAAATAACAAAGATAACTTTATAATTCATTAAAGAGTGTTGAGGTAATTTAGAATTAAATTTTCTTTATATGTATACTAAAGTAATACAGGATCTGTGCAATAAAATGATTTTACAATCATACATGTGTGATATGAACAAGCACTGAGTGAGTGTAAAAAACATGTAGGCTAGCTTTCTTAAGTTACATGTTGAACTGTGTAAGACTTGTAAGTAAAATATTTTGCATATTTCCTACATGTACAAGCTTATTTGACTCTTGAATATATGTACCTACCCAACTATATTATGTTTATTGTAATGCACAAACCTTTTTTATTACTTTTGTAAATTAATAGCATCAAATTATAAAATGTAATTGTAATTGTTGCCTATGAAAGCGTTTGGATTGTCTGTCCTACTGAAGGAAAAACAAACAATTAGTTGTATTTATAGCTTATTTTTCACATTCGATGATTTTGGAGTTTTGATTGCTGTGCATGAAAATACTATATTTGTTCATGTGTTAGCCTTAGAGTATGTTGTATGACATTCTTCAAGCTGCTTACGACATAAAAAACAAGATACTCTGAAGAACAAAACAGTTGCAGAATTGAAAATAGCATGAGAGATATATTATTAATAGTTAATTAGGCAACTAACAACTACATCACCAGCCTAAATATGTTTCCACAGACTTCACTATTAAAGCTCATAAACAAAATATAGCTAATTGATACTTTCATTTCAAAGAGATATAATTATCTATGAATCAAAGTTTATATATTCCAAACAAAACAATATTCTACTGAATTAAACAGAATCAACCCTACAACTATGCACAGCTAGGAAAACATAGAAGTCATTATAATTACAAAAAAGGAATTATATTTACGGATGGTTTAGACCTCGTTAGTTTAATTTTAGTATGTCTGCTGTCCAGTGGAACTGTGGTAAGTCTGAAGGATTATAACACTGAAACACGTGCTTTAGTGCCTGTGGTGGACACAGCACAGATAGCCCATTGTGTGTAACCCCAGATAAAGTTTCTGATAAATGTCATGAAACAAGTAGTATGTGGAAGGCTATTGAATCTTGAGCATATCAAAATTGGATTAATGATCCTTTCCATATATATAACAAATATATACTTTGAAATTGAATTGTTGTTTTTCAGTTTGACTGTTGGATTTCTTTATCACTTAATGTTCAGTAATTATTCTTTCTTATATATGATTACTTGTTTTCTCCGAGGAAGTTTTTTTTGTTTCTTTCAATTTCTTGTAGCTGAACTTTTCTCAGTTTGATTCTAAGTGTTCATCTCTTACAAGTAAATGTAGAAGTGTTATTTCACTCACTGTTATTTAAAAAACAAAGTATAAGTGTAAACATATTTTGTCAATTAATTCCAAGCTTTTCTTTAAATCCATCTTTGAATTTATTTGACCTATAAACATGTGAAAATGCTTTGCATTGAACCTTTTTACTACAATTTTTTTTATGAGATATGTATATTTTACTACTGCTAAGACAATTGTTTACAACAAATTTTCACAAAAATTTACTGAATATTATAATTTCTTAATAGAAGTCAAAAATTTTAGAATTATTTAATGATATAACTGAGTTAAACTATTGAAATAATTAGTGTTCACATGTACCTTCTTAACAGAAGTCAAAAATTTTAGAATTATTTAATGATATAACTGAGTTAAATTATTTAAATAATTAGTGTTCACATGTACCTACAATTTTGTAGCTATTATAAGATATCAGATATTAATGACTAAGACTCATATAAAGTTTAGGTATCCATAAAACTGACATTTAAATGAATTTGGTTCTAGGAACCAAGAATCTTAATAGGCATCTGTATTAAGAATGTTTTTTGTATATAAAGTTTTAAGAATGAACTGAAAGTAAGATTTATTATTGATATACTTAAATACATGTTTTACAAAAATATAAAGAAATACAGTAGGAAGGCAATTAAAATTGTATTTTCTTAATGTTTTTAATTGCAGTTGTATGAGTGTATATTATCGTTTAACTGTTGTTGTACTGAAAATGAGTTTTTCTTTTGAAATACTTTGAAATAAAATCATTACATTTAACCTGTATGTAACTAAAACCAAATATCATGTTTATGAATTCCCTTTATATTGTATGGAACTTTTTTGCAAGCTTTGGTATTGGTAATCACTCAACAAAGATGTGGTTAAAATATTATATGCTATTAACAAATAAGACTATTCATATGCGCAGTGTTCCTCCTTTATGTCACTGTGCCATCATTTGAGTACAGATTTCTCGGGGAATTTAAAATGTGCAATAACATTTAAGTAATAGTAATCTTTGTGCTTTTATTTTTACCTTGATTTCCAGGAATGAAAAGCTTTATTAAAATGTATTTCTGCGATTTATTAAATAAATGAATATAGATAGTATAAGAGTTGATAGGAACAAAAGCAAGTAAAGGAGTGACTTGAATAATATCTGTGATTATAAAGGTTATGTTGTATGCATGTTCCTGTTTGACTTACAGTTTTATCATAGTTCTTTCTTAACTGATAGAATGGAATTGTAACAATAATTTCATTGTTAAAACTGTTAAAGCATTTAAACTGTTAGGCCTAGTATTTATGATAAAAATCATGTCAAACTGTGATAGACTATGGATGTCTTTTAACATTCTGTTTAGTTTGCTTATTTGAAATCCATAATATTGGTATATTTTGTCCATTTGCAATCCATAATGGACAGTTCACGAGTACTGTATAAAAACTATCTGCAGTCTACTCTGATTTCTCTCGTAAATATTAGGCCTAGTAATAAGACAACGATTCCTAAAGTGTTTCCTAGCTGATACAGTAGTAGAGAAATATGGTGACCAAATAGATGACTGCTAAATATTAGCTCTGAGAAAGGTGTTACTGTACCTTGTCACTTCATATTCCTTTCTCATTACTCATTTGTTTGGTTTTAATATTAGATATAAAAAAAAACAATTTATAAGTACACGTAGCAGACTGCAATAAATTTAACTAGAATTACCAGTTAATTTGATTTTTTTGTTTTAGTAGTAAAGATATGGTAAAAAGTGTTTTAAGGCCCTTATTTTGATAGTTTTTTTATAGGAAATTGTGAAATTTAATTAATATCAGATATATATATATATATATACAGCTTTCATCTGTTGCTAAAAACAATTGGATCAGAATGTTATTAATTATGTGTGTAACATTAATTTCGAAATGTGTTTCAGCTACTATAAATATTTCTTCTCTAATTTTTCTAAATGAAGATTTGAATTGTCGTCATAATCTTACCAATTTCATTATATTTTTGTTAATCTTGTATGTCATACACATACGCAAATGTATTTAATAGAGTTAAAAGGATATATTAGTAACATCTAAAAAATTTTTAAAAACCCACTCTTTCAAGCCTCCCACTGGCTCACTGATTAAATATGAGGACTTATAATGCTACAACTTGACTTAGATACTCATGGTGGGCAGAGCACGGATAGTCCATTGTGTAGTTTTGTGCTTAACAACAAACAAAACTTTTAGTTCCATGCGTCAGATAATGGTGTATATTTTCTTATATTAGTATAACGAATTATAAAATCGAAGTATCGTATAAAACCTTATGTAAGTTAAAAGAAAAAGGAATGATATATACAGGAAGTTATCTTCAAAACAAAGTTTATTCAAATGCAATTTAGAAACATCTTTTTATCATAAATTAATTTTAATTGAGAATTTGTGTAGTTAAGGGATTTTTATAAATGATGTCACTCAGTAATATCAGTACTGTCACCATATTGTTATTTTTACAGAGTTTTTGTTTTATTTTTGTGTAATTTAGACTGATGCTGTTACTTTACCTTCTTAATAAGACCCTAGATTGCTTAGTGACATAATCTGGTAGCTTTAAATCGTGTGTCCAAGCAGCAAAATAGACCCTTTTTTTATATACCATAAAAGCAAATGGTTGAGATCAGAAAAGAAACAGCTTCTTTGCTACATAAAGATGTATGATTGTTGACAATTTAAATCTTTTATGGTAGTAGGCTGGGTTATTACAATGTTGTTTTGTGAATCTGAGGGTTCATGGTTTGTGTCCTTTTGCTGCAAGATCATGCGGTGCACGTTGAGGCTGTGGGTGTGTTAGAAAAGTGATGCTTCAATCTCCATATTCAGTAAGAATCCCAAGAGTTTGTGGTTAGTGCTGTTAACTAGCTGCTTTCTCTCTAGTCTATCAGTTCAAAATTAGGGATGACCAGCAGAGATATTCCTTGTGTACCTTTGTGTAACTATCTCAACAGGTGATGTAGGTTCAGTTTTTAGTGATAATATGAACTCTGTTTTAATAAACGTAGTTTTTCCTTAGAAAAGACCAACAGTGTGTGTGTTTGTACCATTCTGGCACGAACCGAATACCTGTGGACTAAGCAAATATGTAATATAAACCTTGAATATTTTTGTATTTCATTTATTTCTACAATAGTTTTGTTTATTTTTTGTCAATGTAAAACATTTTAGTGTCATAACTAAACATCATTTTTTGCAGAATAAATAGCGTCATAATAAGTATAATAATATTTCCTGTTTATTTAGCTATTTAAGTTATTGTAAAATATACCGTAATATTGTATAGATTTAATTTTTTGTATGTACTGGCATGTTACATAGACCTAAGAATTTTGTATTATATATGCAAAAGAAAACATACTTTTTATAATCAGTGTTTTGACAGCTACCTTAAATGTAGTTAAAATTCAAGTTTCATGCATAATGCTTTTGAAATAAAGATGCATTTTAAGAAAAAAGTGAGTGTGGGAGCTTTCTGTTATTTTAAAATTGCTTACTGTGGCAGGGTATTAAGATTGTGTTACATGTATAATAGATCTGTCTGTGCACTTCTTAAAACAATATTTCATATAAAATATTACTGTAAAAGGTTTAAGATCGTAACCTTCGTGTCATTTGGTGTCGACATACATTTTTAAAGTTAGTGCATTCAATTTTTTATTATATTACAATTATTATACAGATAGCCTCCCAGTGGCACAGCGGTATATCTACAGACTTTCAATGCTAGAAATTGGGTTTCGGTACCCGTGGTGGGCAGAGTACAGATAACCGATTGTGTAGCTTTGTGCTTAACTACAAACAAACGATTATAAAGATCATTCTGGCATGCCGTTCTTTCATACATGCTTTCTTTAAAACATTTGCTTTGGATTTCTAGAAGTAATTACCAGCTTTAACCACTGAAATATTTTAAAAGTGTAAACTGTATATATATACACCTGGAAAAAAGTTAAGCACCCCCAAATATTTTTCAGGA